GGCTTCTTTAGGTGATAAAGTAAAAATAAATAAAATAAAATAAATACTATAATAATAATTACTATTATTATAAATTATTCTCATTATTATTAACTTCATGGTGCTTATTTTTTATACAGGGTAAGGTTAGGGTACTAAAATATGCTATTTAAATTATTCAGGTGAGAAAATAAATAAGAAAACAAACAATATTAATAATTGTTACTATACTATAATAGTTGTTACAATTATTATACTATATTTGCTTATTTTTCAAATAGGGCAGGGTTAGGGTACTAATATATGTTATTTAGATTCTTCAAGTGAGAAAATAAATAATGATTTTATTATTATTATTATTATTAATAATAATAATGAGAGAGTGAGAGAGAGAGATAGATAACTTTGTTACTTCAATTATTATTATTATTGTTGTTATTATTATTATGAATATGGTTATGGTTCTTTTCCCATCTATTATTATGCACAGATAAGCAGGAACTGACCTGCTTAAAATGCATTCTTCCCATGTACGTGACAAACAAAATCCACTGACCACCTTCTGACCTTTTTGGAGAGCCTCATTTTAAAATATAACATTGAACAATGATAAATGACCATTGGCGATGTAAAGGAGCAGCATGTGAAACTGAACAGGTGTTCTGGACAGAGACATTGAGCTTAACATGACTGCATCTGCACACGTCAGGCACACACACACACACACACACACACACACACACACACACACAAAAGAGATGCTGAATGAAAATAGACCTGGGTGACTGAAGAGCTCAAGGTTGTTTAAAGATGTCAAGCGTGTAGGATGGCGCTTAAGGTCGTATGACAATAGTGTTGTGTGTAAATCTGTACATAAAGGCACTGACAGGCACTGACGTTAAGGGTTACACCATTTTTGTATGTAGCAGCAGAAGTGGCTTCAGGTTTCACATAAATGTGGTCACTGCATCTCCAGCGGCCTGAGCACTCAGCAAGAACGCACCAGGGACCTCAAATAAGTCTCCTCCTCCCTGAAAAGGACAAATAGCCTGACCAAGCTCTACACAAGGCATAACTCCATTAATTTTATGCTTTTTTATTTTTTTAAAGTTTTCTAAAAACTGGTTTGAAGATGAAGCTCTATTTCATGCTCCTACATATCAGCTTTTACCTCAAACCTTTACTACTGAATCAAGCGGTTCCAGTTTGGCTGGTTAGCATGACAAAGAAATTTCACCTTTAACCTTTTAACAGCAAGACTGCAAACCTACAACCAACCTGGCGAGTGATTCATCAGTTGTCAGCAGGCTGGCTTCTCAAAGAATGGCCAACAATTGGTGACAGAAAACAGAGCCACTTCACAGCATCATGGTGCAGGGACTCGCTGAGCAAGAGACCAGCGGGAATGCGTGTTAAGAGACCGAAAGCCTGTGTTGTGACAGTCCGAGCGGTGGTGTCTTCAGGCCAGTGGTGAAGCTGATGCTCTCACACAGAGATGGTGGTTTTGGGAAGAGTGACTCATGGGGCTCCTTCAGAAAGTAGCACACTAGCTCCAGTCTAGACCACAGAGAGGCCTGGAGCCTGCCAGAATCTACCCCATACCAGCACAAACAGTCAGTGTGAGGGGAAGGCGGTTGCAGCAGAGGATTCTGGGACTGAGAAGAAAAGCGTGACGGAATCTCCTTTAAAGCACCCAAGTCAAATATAGCAGGAGGAACCCCCGCAAAATCCTATACATGCACTCTAAAAATAAATGTTTTGTGCATTCTTTCTCGGGGCTTTGATATGTGAAGTATAATTTAAAAAATTTTCTAAGTTGTAAATATAACAAAGCCTATTGGAGTTCGATGTGCAAGAAAATACTACTTCAGGTTTTATACTTCACACTTAATTCCCTGTTACTTGCCAAATATTTGTAATTGTTTGTGAAATTTACTATAAATTTCTGAGTGAAAATGTTTTACTATAAACCAATCAGGAAGCAGCACACTAGTGAAAATTGTCCTACGCATTATTTTTTCAATGTAAAAAAAAAAAAAAAAAAACCTGTAAATATATAAAATATATATTATGTTTGTGAAATTTACTATAAATGGAGTGAATCGTAAATTTTTGCAGTGTATAATGTTTAAAAGTTGTAAATAAAACAGATTATTGGAGTTAATTTTACAAGAAAATACTACTTCAGTTTTTATACTTCGTTTAATTCACTGTTACAATTATTTGTAATCGTTTATGAAATGTACTATAAATTTGTGAGTGAAAATTGTCCTACGTCAACTTTTTTCAATGTAAATTTAAAAAAATATATATATTATATGTTTGTGAAATTTACTATAAATTTGAGTAAAACTAAATGTCAAAAGCGTTTTTTTTTTCCAATGTAAAAAAACCAAATATATTATATTACGTTTGTGAAATTTACTATAAATTGAGTGGAATTTTTTTTTTCAATTTTTGTAGTGTATAATGTTTAAAAGTTAGTTAAAAAAAAAGTTGTAAATAAAACAAAAGATTCTTGGCGTTTGTTTTACAAGAAAACAAGATTTTCCACTTCAAAATTTAAACAAATATTGTGTGTAAAATTGAATAGCAATTTCTGAATGAAAATTACAAACTACACCTTTTTTCAGTGTAACTGGTTTAAGTTATAGTTTGCCATATCTTAAATTAAAAGGAAGTTTGTAAGAATAGCACATTTCCTCCATGTTGTGAAGTTGCAGGATTTTGTTAGTGAATTTGATGGTTGTGTAAAGATATTCTTGATGACACTGCAAAAACAAAGAGAGATTATGACAGCAAAGCTTTACAAAAGTGCTATTCTGATGAGACAAAGCACAAAAATAATCCCTTTTTGCTGTAAAAATCCCTGATTGTGCCACGTGACTGAAAAGCTGCAACAGCACAACGGCTAGAACAGCAGCCCAGGTCATATTCTAATGCTGAGTCACAGTGTCTCTGTTCCTCAAGCTTCTAATCAGTCAACCTCACTGAGCTGCAATTCACAAGCCACTGTTTTCTAATGGTCAAAACAGCCGTTTCCCATCTCCTACATCAAAACCTTAACACTCTCCTTATTCTTCCTTTTACTCCAGTGGAACAAACCAATGTTTTCATTTTACTTTGGTTGTCTTTTCCATCCCTCTGAGGTTAATATCATTCCATATGCCTGGTTAATATGAGACCAGAGTGAAAGGAATATATAGGGTGAAGAAAGGGAAGCAGCCCAGGAAGAGAAAAAAAATAGATAGGTTTCAAATGCTTTTGACTAGTTCAATACGTTCTGGCAAAGAGAATTCACAATGAACAATATCATCTGTCCAAAAATCAGATGTAGCTCTGACTATAATAGTATTTTGAGAATAAAAAAAAAAACACTTCAAAAATGAAATTCATTTATTTGAAGAATCTTTAAGCAGCAATGAAAATATGAAAATAAATGAATGAATAAATAAATGAAAACAGAAAATAAATAAATACATAGTAAAACAATACAATCATTATAATATGATTAATTAAAATAAATACAAAAATTATACAATACAATAACATACTATTTAAAGTAAACAATACAATAAAAATGCAAGAATAAAAACAATTTCAAAATAAAAATAAATTACAAATGAAATAAAACAAAAATAAACAAACAAACAAATAAATAAATTGAGAACCATTAAATTTGCAGCAAATAACTTGACAATGTATTCCTCACACTAAGATACTGTATGGCTTTAAAAGTAACTCGTAATATTTATTTTGCTTTTTACTCAATCAGTAATCTCTTGCTGTATGGAAAAGCTGCACAGAGACGCTTCAAAAATTCTCCTTTTTGTGTTAAACTGAAAAAAACAACAGCATATGGGTTTGGAACAACATGAAGGTAAAGAGACCATGAGCTACTCCTTTAACTGTACGACATTTAGATGTGACTCACATCAAAGCTGAGGTTGTCTGAATAAAAACCAGCCAAGCCCTTCATTTCTCATGGGCCAAATTACAGAGCACCCCATGTGCGCTCAACCCCAACGCTCCCTGCGAGACCCCCTTTTTCCACATGATAACATAAGAGGTCTCTGAACAGTGATTTCCTTCCATCTCCACTTCAAAACACTGCTAATCACACCATCAACTATCCCAATTTAATGCTGTTCCCTGGGTCCTCAGCACACCATTCACCAAGCAGCAGCAACAAGAAGATTAATGAAACATGGCTTTAATGTGTGTTACTAATAGGAGGAGAAATGCTTTTCTTATGGGAAAGTCCCAGTTGTTTCCGCCATCCAGCCAACTTGTTTCCTCACTCCTGCAACTTCTCACAGAGGCTACACACACTGGGCAATGATACCTACGTTTCGTTCCAAAACCTCACTGCCTATATAGGCAGCACCCTAACAGTCACAGAACCTCACAAATGACCTATCTGGAACTAGGGCTGTCACGATTATGAAATTTGGCTAACGATTAATTGTCTAAAAAATAGTCACGATTATTGCGATTAATTGTCTGTTTTAGGGCTTTGGCGATTATCACGGTTAATTGTCTGATTTTTATGGCTTTCATTATATAATTGTGATTAATTTAAGGGTTCAGTAAATAATTATGTTATCGTTTTATCTTTTTTGAGTTATTATTTTGCAGTGTAAGATTACATAGAGTATTCCAAATTCTAAGAATCGGCCAATACCAATCCAACACCAGCGCTATTTTTTTTCTACACCACTACAGAATATCAATACTGTGTTTGTGGAACTAATGGTCACTCTTTTTTAAACAATCCTCTAAATACTCTCTTCCTCAAAGAGAAAAACTACATTTGAATAAAAATATATAAGCTATGATATTAAACTAGCTGTCTGTATAATTTAGCAGCAAAAACAATATCTTGAAAAACAATGTTTTATGCACATTATACAATTTAAACATGTTTGTTCTGTTAACTATTTGTATTCTTACAAAATACATTCATGAGAAAAAGAAAGGCTTCTAATAATCTTTCTGTGTGCAAAATTGTGATATTGTGAAACGCTTCAAACAGAGCAGCACAAAGCTCTTGTGCACATCCATGGTGCAGAATGGTGCACTTGAAGCAACATGCACTCCACATGTACAAACAAAGAGAAGAGAAATGTAGGGCCCTATGAAATCAGTTAAAAAAAAATTCCCGAATTCCATTTTATTTTTTTTCAAATTCCGTTTTTATTTTTCTTGACTCCTTTTTAATAGTCAAATAAAATTGTATTAATAAAAAAGCATGTCTAATTTATTAAAATCATGAAAAATACATTTTCACATCAATTTATTAAAAGTTTAACAAAAATTACATGGTTAGGACCCTATGAAAAGTTTTATTTTTTTCTCACCATATGTTTTTTATTGTTACCAAATTATGTATTTTAACGTCTAATTATTTGAATGCATAAAACAACTCCATTTATTCATTGTTTTTCTTAAAGTAGCCTTATGAATTTTTTTCCTCAGAAATTCTGTGTTAATTTACATTATTTTGGTTATCAAATGAAGGCATAAAAAAATTTATTTAATTTATCTTTTAATTATAGAAAATTAAGTATTTTTAAGCTTTTTTTTTGAATTTTTTTCCTCAGAAATTCTGTGTTAATTTACATTATTTTGGTTATCAAATGAAGGCATAAAAAAATTAATTTAATTTATCTTTTAATTATAGAAAATTAAGTATTTTTAAGCTTTTTTTTAACTATTTTTTGGCAAACAAAGGGGATTTACTATTAAAATTAAAACATGGAAGAAATGTGTGATTATTCTTTTAAAAAATAATGTTTGTTTCATTATAGTAGTAGTAATCGTAGTCGTAGGCTATGTACATCCTACTGAAAAATAGTAATAGGTACAATGTCTTCAAATCAAACCGGACTTTTATTGTGATGGGTTGCCGTGAATGACTTTACAGTTCTGTGTATGTGATATGACGCTAGTTTTACTCAAACCAAACGATCAAATGCTCATGAAGTGACTCTCAGAGCAGTTCTGGAGATGTTGTTCATGTGTTTACGTCCTCATTTAGTGAGACGGCAGACGCTGAAATCACTGCGAGTGTCACGCGCGCTTCAGTATGTGTGTAGTAAATGAAACCGGGAGTCTGTGCCTAGGGCTGCACGATAAATCGAAATGGAATCGAGATCGGGATTCGACAGAAGCTGCGATTGTCATGCGTATCTTTCAGTGAAGCACGGTTCTGTGATCAGCAGTAAATCTCCATCCAAAGGCCAGAGGGTGCTCTTGTGTGGAAACTCCAAAAACGCCTCGCAGAAGAAACCCAGAAAATCGCTGCAGCTGAATAAAGATTCAACTGCTTTCATTGATTAAACGTGACTAATAAACACACGACTACGGCAATATACGGTTTATCGGAGTTCTTATTATTATAATTTTCATTAAAATAAAGTATATTTATAATGCAATGCCTTTATCACTGCTTAAATACTATGAAATATGTTGCATGCCTTATTCTGTGTAAGAAGCCACATCATCTCACAGAAGGATTTATTTCAAACACTCGACTGACATTATGAAGTGAGTTTGGAGGAAAAATGTTATTAAATGTGGTATTTTCACATGCTTTCAGATGGAGCAGCATTTACTTCACAGAGCCGTAGCTCACTGATAAGGTATGCAAACGGCTGTCATTATCGCAAACGATTTCATAATCGCACAATAAAATCGTCTGCGATTTTTTTGCGTAACTTGTCAGTGAAGTCAATTCTGCTCCATCTGAAAGTACGTGATGATGATTTCCTGCTGATTACAGAACCGGCATTACTATCAAAATGCGCACGACAATCGCATTCGATTAATTGTGCAGCCCTATCGGCACCATTCATTAACAGATACACGCAGAACATGTAGGATTCATATTTAAATTGACTTTTGCGGCTTAATATTTACAGATATTAGTCCATATCACGATTTGATTTAAGTGTAATGACCTACTTCCGATTAATTCATTCAAAATTGGACAAATTCCGTGACATTCCGTGTTTAACTGTGAATTCCGTTTTATGACTGGATTCCGCGATTCCATCCGCGTTTTCCGCATCGCACCCTAGAAATGAGTCATGAACTCCAGCGAGATGTAATTTTAATACGAATCCCCAGACCTTTATCTACACATCAAGTATTACAATGGGAATATATATATATATATAATCTTGGAGAGAGAGTTTTACTGTGCTGACTGTCATAACGTGCTGTTTGAATGCTGAGCGGAGAATATCTGACAGCTGCACCAGAAGGAAGATGAGTTTCTGTAAACTTAAATTTAACACTGTAAATACAATTCCGTCCCTCACATGATATAGGCTATACAGTGCATGAAAAGCGAACTGGTGCTATTCTGTTTCTTTTGGTGTATGACTCCCCCTTGTGCCATATAAAAAGCACAATAATCGCGGTTGTCTGAAACAACCACAGTTAGATCAAATAATCGCGATTAGACGGTTATTTAATTATCGCGACAGGCCTATCTGGAACACTCTATATCGGCAGCAACTCCACGTAGTACACAAATAAAGTTCCTCAGGGGAGGCGTTTGATGTTAGCATGTTGCTACGCTAACAGCGTAATAAAAATAAGAGCACTAAAGTTGAGTTAAAGGGGTCATATGATGCGATTTCAATTTTTCCTTTCTCTTTGGAGTGTTACAAGCTCTTGGTGCATGAAGATCTGTAAAGTTGCAAAGACTAAAGTCTCAAATCTAAAGAGATATTCTTTATAAAAGTTAAGAGTCAGCCACACCTAGCTAAAACAGCTCGTTCTAACACGCCCCCACATACCTATGTCACTATCTGGGCCGCCCTGTCGTAAAGGCGCTGTGCATTTCATTGTGAAAGCGAAACTACTTTGTTTGGCCTTCCAAAAGAGGACGATATCCGCTTCGTCATGCCTGGAGCTGATCCGTGCTGGTCGCTGAGGAAATACAACAACTTTGCGCTGTGGATCGCCGGATCGGCTTTCACCGTGGATGAAGCGGAGTCCAGCACGGGGTCATCACATGTGGTTTCCGCAAGCCTCCTTCGCCGAATACGCCGGCCGCGCCGTTCTCAAGCCCGCCGCCTCTGCTCACTCTAGCCCCCGGCCTCTGCTCACTCTAGGCCGCCGTGTGTGACGCAGTGTTTCGTTGTGAAAGTGAAACTACTTTGTTTGGCTTTCCAAAAATGGACACGACTACAAATCAGTGGTTAAGTTGTATTTACAACACTGTTCCAGAACACTTCAACCCAAATATTCAGATGTGTGCAGCACATTTTATGGAGGACTGTTTCCTGATCCTGGTAGAGTAGACTACAGTGCCGGCTGTTCTGACTCACAGATTGCAAGTACGTTTTTTTATATTTAAAGAGTTTTTCTATTTTCTATTTAAAGCGAGTTTTTTGGGCAGTGTAGAGTAGGGCTTGTTGTTTGTCATTTCTCCGATCACAAATGCAGACATGGTTTTATGTTTACGCAGCGCGATGCAACGCAACGCGTAAAAAGACAGTATAAGTCATTATAATCCATAATTATGTCCCCACTGGATGCAGCGAATGCCTCGTTTATAATGGGTTTTCATGCTTTTTAATCGTCGCTCCGGTCGGACAGGGCATAAATATCTACAGTGGATCTAAAATATTAATAATTAATCATAATTAGTTATGGTTAATTATTCATATTTCCCCATGAGCTGATTCGCTACAGAGCTTTGTAAAAATCTATGCGTTTCAGAAAGGTGAAGCACAGAGGAGAAACAATAAAGTACAGTATGTGGAAAATAATGTGTTTTTTGAACCTTAAACCGCATAAACATTTCATTACACCAAATACACAAAATAATGTTATTTTTAGCAACATCATATGACCCCTTTAAAAACTATTTTAATTAGACTGAACTTTTTATCTAATTTAATCCTGAAAAGTTTATGATTATGTTTAAGTAAATTTAGTAAGCTACATTTCTCTCACCTTATCCACCATCTTGGATTTATTTACACTGAACTCAATGCAATAAATTCTGGGATTGTTTTCTCTGGAAAAGATAAATTACCGTTCAAATTTTTGGGGTCAGTCTGGTTTTCTTTTAAAAATTCAGGTTATCTTCTCATCTATTCAGCAAGGACACATTAAATTTATCAAAAGTGACAAAAACATTACAAAAAATAAATAAATAAAATTAGCACTTTCCTACTAATAAAAGAAAAAAATTATCAGATTTTTCATGAAAGCAACAAGCAAACTGTTCAATATTGAGAAATAATTTAAGAAACGTTTCTTCAACACTAAATCAGCATGTGACTCTGAAGACTATGATGCTGAAAATTCAGCTTTGTCATTAGAAATAAATTACATTATAAAATGTATTTATTTAGTTATTAAATTGTAATATTTCAGAATTTTACTCTTTTTACTGTATTTTTGATCAAATAAAAAGCCTTGATGAGTAGAACGTCTTTCAAACACACACACACACACACAAAATTCTTACCAACCCCAAACTTTTTTTCTTTCTTTCATGAAACCTTATAAGGCAACATAATTCAGTTGCCTACACCTTCCTTTTGAGCCTGGAGTGTTTTTATAATGCCTTAAAATGCTGCCTACGTAGACAGCTTACAAAGTTTTGAAACAAAACAGTTGTCTAAACAAGGAAGAGATGAAATGCCAAATGCCATGACAGTGCAGTGATTTCGATCCAGACTGGATGTACAATATTTAGGTCATTTGTTTCTACATAGTTCATCCAGATCTGATATAAAGAGCCAGTTCCAATCTCAAGCACAAATCCGGTTCTGGGATGCATTAGCATGGTGAGGACAGATTCAAATATACAAGGCAAAGCGTGTCTCAAGGATCCGTCTGACCACAAGGCTCTGATGAAACAGATGGACTCTTGCTTCAAAAGAGTTTGCTTTCAGGTCGGCCCGTCAAGTTTGCGCTGCGACAGGGAGGGACTGAGGAATGAGCGGTTTGGGGGCCGAATCCATGTTTGAGCGTGGGAGATGCGAGTTCCTCGCTGTGGTAGGTGCAGCAGAGCTCCAATAAGGCCTCCTAAACAAACAGAGGTCTGAGCCTATGGGAGATTTTCTAACGTCTAGGAAATTTGCCCAGCGTATCATCCTAAAAAAAATCCCTTTTTCAGAGTCCATATCCCAGATAGGAAAACAAGGGAGAGGGCGGGTGGGTACATGCGCTCACACACAAATTTAACTCAGCTTTGCCAATGCGGAGGATGTTGGAATACAACAAGTTTACTTGAATGATGAAAAGAGAGAACGAGCCAGTCTGATCTCACTCTGTTGAAGACACCCTGTAAGAAAAGCACTGACTCAGAGGTAGGCCTATTTCTATCAACTGAACTGCGACTCTGCATTCATTTTACATAACTCACACAAAACAAATACACTAATAGGAAACCATGTTGCATGTTAACACACAATGAGTCAACTACAACAAAATAAAGTTGATCATGTTGTGTTTTCTACAAGATTCAGATTTTGCAGCTAGGAAGCCAATAATCTCTATACATGATGGCGCCGCAAATGGCAGCCACGACGCTGAGCTTTGCAATTCTTCTCATGTTTTTGTTTGTTTGTTCTGTGCTTTGTCACTCTTCTTCTATAAGTTTTACCAGAGACAAACTCCTTAAACATTAAGGAGCACATCCCAGACAATATTTTTCCATTTTGTTGGACATTCTAGTCGGAGGTACAGCGGTGTTGTTCAAACGCGCGTGCAGACACAGAAGAGGGAAATGCGCTGGCGCCCTGGTTAAGCTCTGCACGAGCGGCTTTCAAACTGCGCTCCCAAGCATTCATCTCACGAATGTCCGTTCCTTTCCTAACAAAACGGATGAACATCTCCTCACCCACACCAAAAAGGACTTTTCAAACTCTGCGGCACTGTGCTTCACTGAAACCTGGCTGAGCGAAGCCATTCCGGATAACGCGCTTCATCTGCCGGGCTACCAGCTGTTCAGAGCAGATCGCATCACGGAGTTAACGGGGAAAACGGGGAAGTTTTTGAAGCTGCTGCCACCGATCTGGACGAGCTCACAGAGACCGTAACCTCATATATCAGCTTCAGTGAGGATATGTGCATCCCCACCAGGACATTCTTATCATTCAATAATGATAAACCGTGGTTTACTGTGAAACTCAAACAGCTTTGTCATGCCAAAGAGGATGCTTACAGAAGAAGGGATACAATCTTGTGTAACCAGGCCAGGAACAGACTAACAAAGGAGATGAGAGTGGCTAAAAAACTACTCTTGAAAAGCTGAGAAAACAGTTTTCAGTCAACAATCCGGCGTCAGTATGGACTGGTCTCAAGAACATCACCTTGTACAAGACACCACCCCCACAGTCTGTGAAGAATCAACAACTGGCTGACGATCTGAACGTTTTACTGTCAATATGAAAAGGCCAGTCTATCACCCCTCATCTGCACTTCACACATTCACCTACCCCCCCCCACCCTACCGCACCATTCAACCTGCGCTTAAGGTCTGTGTAGAGGATGTGAACTGGGTCTTCAGGAAGCAGAAGTCTAAGAAAGCTTTCTGGCCCCCATCTTCACACAGATCTTCAACAGATCGCTGGAGCTGTGTGAAGTTCCCTGCTGTTTCAAACGCTCCATCATTCAAGTCCCCAAAAAGCCCAAAATCACTGGACTTACTGATTACAGACCTGTCGCTCTCACGTCCGTGGTCATGAAGTAATTTGAGCGACTGGTCCTGGCCTACCTGAAGGACATCACTGGACCCTTGCTGGATCCTCTTCAGTTTGCCTATACAGAGCAAACAGGTATGAGGACGATGCAGTTAACATGGGACTGCATTACATCCTGCAACACCTCAACAGACCTGGGAATTACGCAAGGATTCTATTTGTGGACTTCAGTTCGGCCTTCAATACCATCATGCCTGACCTTCTCTCAGACAAACAG